TAGATATAGATATATAATTTATAAAAATTACCTGATATCTATGACGTCATTGTGACGTCATATAGAACAGGGGTCAATTAAAAATACAAAAATATTATTTTCAAGTCATTTCAATAATAATCAGATGATATTGCAGCATTCCCCCCCCTCCCCAATCACAGATTGAAAAAAAATCCCAGTCTGAATAGGGTTAAAAAAAGATTAAGCTTTCCATCTGATATATACTTCTTGAAAATTAAATTTAGGGAATTCTGTTTTAACAAAACTTAAAAGTTCTATACACATCTACAGATGAAAAATATAATATAATTCCTTTGTTTACCTTGTCGGAATCTTCCTCTTGGTAGGTTTTGTATGCGTTGGACTCAGTTCCTTCCTCAAAGTAGGACAACTTGTATTTCTTGACCCATCTGTCCTGATCTTGTCTCCCCTGTGTAGCAATTGCTGAGACTTTCACATTTCGACCGAAATCAACTTTAAGAAACTGGTTTTGATTTGCTGTTTGGGCAGCCCAGGCACCGCCTTGTGGTGGACTTGGCATAAGGTTTAGTCTAGCATTGTTAGGACCAAAATATTTGTCTTTCTTGGAAGAAACCGTTAGTTCTTGTTTTAGTATCCCGCCATCTTCCATTCCAAGCGGATCCGCGCTAGTTTTTGTGCATTCTAACACGAATTTAATAAAAATCTGAGATAAATCATTGCATTGGTATTGTCCGAAGAGCCCTGGTCACGAGATTATGGATAACCCTTAATTAATGTTACTTGAAAAAGAATTTATGCACTGCATTCGGCACATGTCATATACGGCGTATAAATCAACTTGCCGTATCTTCGATATTATGTCCCAGATTCGACTGAACGTTGTATTTCATCCGCCAATGTCTAAGTTAATTAATTAATTCATTGTATTCGGCWGGTGTGAAGTTCGGCGTTAGTGAAGAATGCGTMTACCACGATCTCCTATTGCATCGTTGTTTGTGTCGAATGGATATTTAAATCTCGAAAYGGGATAGGGAAGCAACGAAGAAGCTCTTTTTGCAAAATACAAAATTTAAAAGTTGCTAATCGTAATCTACCAATCTTTACATACCCATATAATTCCTTATCTGTAACATTGCTTTCATTTTTTTCACATCCATTCTGGGATAACCGGCATGTTGCCAACTAACTGCTCACCCGCAATACTTAAGTGTAATTTTCAAATAGATTTTACCTGGTGCCAAGACAACAAACGAAGGAGTTTCATACCACGTCATTGGGGAGTCCTTTATATCCAGTTCTTCAAGCCAGGATTGCGGAGCTGCATAGGTGATCTGATAACATGCACCGTTATCTGTATGTATACAAGTATTCTTACGTCAAATTTCTGTTAAAAGTTGTTTAATAAACTCATATATAGTTAATTAGTTATTAGGCCAACAGGATGAGCCTATTTGCTCACATGCACTTTATACAYGAAAAAAGAAAAAATCAGATATAAGGTCCATGAGCATAGCAAAGGTCTCAGGTGTGATATTTTGATGTTGTAAAATGTTTATTTAAAAAATAAATCCTCACAACTTCATCGATTTTAACACAAGCTGACTAATTCATGCTAACAACGGAGGATGTCTTATTTTATAACTTCTATACTTTAAATCTCCCTCAGGAGCACATGTGATTCAAAACAAGAAAAATGTTCAAAGTTCGCTTTCAATACCAGGGAGTAATAACTTCTATACTTTAATTGTCTATACTTCAGGACCACATACAATTCAGACAATCAAAATGTTGAAAGTCACTTTCGAAGAGTAGGTGAAACAAACGAATGGTCCATGACCTCCTCGAACTGTTGTGGAAGCGCATACTGTGGATCCAAATCACCGAAGCGGTTGTTTGTTGGGACAGACACACGATGAACCTTAAACGGTCCTCCAAAATTCCGTTCCTCATCGTCRCTATGCCTATGCTTTTTCATCCATTCACTATKCTTGTCAGCCTCTCTACAAGGAGAAAAAGGGMAACGTCTCCACAATTCCTCATCACTCATCCTGGAAACATCAGGCACCGAAGGGGCAGCTTGAGCAAGCTCCTCTTCACTCATCTTAGAATGACCAGGCTCCGCAGGGGAGCGGCTTGCGCATATGAAACTCTACTTCTATCTTTACTTGGTTGCTTTGTCTCCTTGCCTTTACTTGGTTGCTTTGTCTCCTTACTTTCTTTGCTTGACTTCTCCTGTTTCTATTTCAAACCAACTCTACATTGATTTGTCCAGTGTCCTTTCACTTTGCATCGCGAGAAAAATGCCTCGTTGCAGCAGCTCGCAAAGTGTCCCCATTCTCCACAATGGTTACACGTTCTGTCTGGGCAGTCTCTTCTGACATGCCCTCCCTTTTTACACAGTRTGCARTGTTCAATACTCGTGTTCATTACTCTAACCGGACACTCSTCAATTTCAGACTCAGGTATCGATACWTCATCCCTCAGGTACATTGCTACAGTAAGAATTCCGTTGAAAAAAGTCCTTCCAGGAAACCTATCTCTGTCCACTTGACAAACTTCATCATATACTGAAAAGGCTTCCTTAACCTTTGAAAGCTGAACCTCGTATGGAAGGTCGAAGACCTTAATGTAGGAGCGGCTTTGCTCAAAGGCGTCCACATAGAAGCACTCAAGATCTGTTTGACGTCGAATRTTCTTAGCCACCTCCAAAACTATCATAGGGTCGTTAAAACCACGTGAAATTCATCGCYTTTCTTGACCAATTGGGMAACCAATGTGGGATCACAAAAAACTCCTTTTCCAACCATATCGCAAAAGGCAGAATAATCAGTAGCCACACCATCAKTTCTTCTAATCTTCACTGTTTTTTTGCGAACCACTCCCATGTTGGAATTAGAGGGGGGCTTGAAACACAAAATTAAAGTCTGTATAATATRTAATATCAACATGTTTTTTTTTCTTATCGATGATCATTTTAAACCTTTAAACAACTTTACTTTCTTTTTATAGAGGTCTAATTATATAMGCATTCATAAAAAAGAGCGAGCTGCAAGCTTGTAAATGGTCAATAACTTTCGAACCAAGACAGCTAGAGCCCTGAAAGTTTCGGACTTTTCCTAAAATTTATCTGGGCAGATTTGGATGTAATTTCTTGTTGTTGATATCGTCATCCATGTCGCCATGATAATCAGTTTTTGACACAAAGGTTTTCAAAAATGTGAAATATGCTTAATTTTCATTTTTAAAGCTTATTTCTTGTTTTATTATGCATCGTTCACCCATTTGAACTTGCTCCCATTGCTGACTCTACAATATCATAATACTTTTTTGACAACAAAACCTTTGGTGGGGAGGGGTGGGAAGTTTTCAGTCATTTTTTCACATGGGAGAACATTTCATTAAAATCATCAGTAGCACTTCGAAACTCACTTTTTTATTCATCAAATGTTATTTCGAGAAGTAGTTCAGGCATTTTGAGCTTTTGCATCCATGTTTCTAGGTGATTTGAGAAAATGCGACTAGTTGTTGACTGATCCATGGTAGGGTTATCGTTGGGAAATCCTTTCAAAATATCAGCTAGTAGTTGGTCAGGAAATTTCTCAATGAGAATTGGGACGTAGAACTCGCCATATTTAGATGGAGGTAGCTCCAAGGACTCAAGAGATATTATATCACCCTGAATTGGATTCAACCACAATTTTTGTACCAGATTCTTAACCCATTTAATAGTGAATAGATTGAGCTATACAAGAAGGTCAACTGAATCAGATTACGAAATCATTACTTACATGAATAGGTTAGAAAAATGGAGAAAATGGAGACGACATATACTTACAAATTTGTGTTCTTTCCATTCTAAAAGTTCAGCGTCAATTAAATCTAATTATGATATTGTTGTCTTAGGGCGTATGTTATATACGCCAAGGGGGCTTATCAAAACTAATAAAACTTTTAAATRAAAACTTTTAATAAATGTCATGTCCAAACACACCCATAAAGCTGTCGTAAAACCCTCGGAGAGCAGTCGCTGTGTAATGTGGTTTAGAAATAGACACCGAGAGCAACACAATGGACATTCTTGATGTACGTCTTATTTCCGGCCAAAGTTTGCACCAGAGGGTCGTAATTATCATCGCTTGCCATGATTCCTTCGACTCTCTTTTTAATTTTGTCGGAAAGTTGACCCTTTAAGAAGTTAAACTTCGTCACTTTTGAGATATCTTCTACCTCATGAACTTCGGTTCGGAAAAACATCCCAAAAACTGAGCCATTTTCGTCGGCCTCCATCAAATACAGGAAGAACTATCTTAGGTAATTTCGAAGAAGAATGATTAAATTTTTTTTAGGCGATTATTTCGCTTCTTGCAGTGCTTTTTCCAGTTGACTGAGCACGACTGCGTGTTCATCTGATATCGCGTCCGCCTCTTCAAGCTTTGTAACAAGGTGCTTCCTTTTCAATTAAAACAAATAATCTTTGGATTTCTCTGTCGAGCTGTTGAGTTTCTGGCTTAGCTTCAGTTAGTTTAMKATGTGCAATTTTCAGATACTCGATATAGTACATTGCGYTGTGACGGCAATAACACAGGTTCRAATCCTGTTTAYGGCACCATTTTTGTGGAATAAATCGAATATCGAYCACAAAGCGTTGTGTTGTTAAGTGAGTTTTACTGTCCAAAAAACTTGTTTTAATAMGTCCAAGGCATAAATTTACATATATTAATTCCATAGGTAATAATTAAATTAAGATTAAAATAATGAAAATAAGTGTTCATTGTTCATTGTTCATTTGTTCAAACAAAACCTCCCCAACCTCTCAAATTGTGACGAAGAACTCCCATTCTTATACTACTCTTTTTAGTTTATATAAATAAAGCTATTGTCTTMTTGAAAATGTTAACCTTACCTGTAACTGTTGATACAGCCGTCACCTTGCTTCCTTTATTGATGACGACGTCACGAAGGMGAACAGTCTTGTTGGATTTAGTCTCTTTATTTAAAGAAGAAAATTCAGAATTTATTAATCTAAAAGTTTGATAAACGTGGAATTATTAATTGGATTTGTCATGTGAATTGGTCAGGATATGGTTACCGTAGAAATAGTAGAAATACCGTTTCACTGTGCCAGGATTAGCGTGTTATCAGAAACTTCTTATTTTATTTTATGGATGAAAGTATAATTTCAGTTTTRATGGTTGCGGCGTATATAGTGATTCCTTATTTTTACGATTTGTCTTGAGCAGGGTAAGGATTTTCACTTTCTATTGTCTTAAACAGGGTCAGGGTTTTAGGATCGTTGGCGCGACACGTACCTATCCACAAAAAGGGATGAGTTAACCCCCAACTCCCACCCGGGCCAGATCACTAAGTGGTCTTTGTCGTGCCTTATGTTCATATTTCATTAATCWTGCAACTACTTGTGCACTCCAATGCATTGTTAAATTGCGAATTTATAGAAAATTGAAACTATTTTAAAACGACGCAACAACGTCTTAATCAAAATTGGACACTGGAATGGAAAAGTCAKTTTTAAAAAAATTGAAAGTGATTGCGTATAATTGTGTAATTTTAGGACTTTTACTAATTTTCATACTTGAACTTTGTAATCATATGAAGAAAGCGCTTAATCCTTAAAACAAATACTCTTAATTGCTACTACAAAGAATAAGGACATAGAATTGTTCTTTAGGTGTTGATGTTAATGTAACAGATAGTGACTGGGGAGGGGGGCAGAGATGACTAATTTATTTCGTTCTCGAGGGGGTAGAATAGTACGATTTTTTCTCTCATTACTCATTGGAACTACTTCACAAAGGATATGAATGATAACATTAYCATGARATTAAGGCCGAAACTGACTGAAACCAGTGAATCTGCAACAGTCAAAAGTTGTATCCCGATTTGGCATTCCCGAGCACCTTTACTTGGAACATTACAGAAATTTCGAGTCGCAGGTGTTCTTATAGATGCAGATTACTGAACAACCAACTATCTAATTACRTCAAACGGTTTGCAATCACAACGTGCCTTACTTCACGATGGCTTATCGAAAATCAAAACATATCAGACAATTGTCTAACATTTTCGCAGGCTACCTGTGCTTTTTTGTGGGTTCCCAAATTTTCAAGGATAAGAGGAGACTATGACAAAATTATAATGGCCGACATGTTGAAATGAAATTTATCTAGAATTTCTGTAAGTTTCAGATATTTGAAAGAACTAAAAGGTGGAGAAAACTTAAAAGAAACTTTGTAACGTACTTCCTTATAAGATAAGAATGATTAACATACATGGTCAGCGAAAGTTTTGTAAACGAATGAATTTTTCTCCGAAGCAATTGTTTGATATGCACAAATCTACTGAGAAAAACGCCTTAAAATTGACATGATTTTTGGTCGAGCTAAAGACACGAGTGTTCAAAGATCTAACAGAAAAAAACTTGGAGACCCAAGAAACGAGCAACAGAAGAAACGGACAAATTTAGAGATTTCTACCCATACAAATGATTTTAAATCAGAGCTTAGTACAAACATGTAAAAGAGGGGAAACACTAAAAAAATCAGAGCATCCTTCCCTGGATACGCCCCGTTAAGAGGGTCGAAGACAAGGAAAAATAAGAGAAAGACAAAGAGGGAGACAAAGAGGGAGAGGACATAAAGAAGACAATGAAAAAGAATAACACAAAGGAGAACAAAGAACACAGAGAGAATGAGCTTCCTTATACATAAACAAAAAACAATATGATGCTCATTGATTAGATTCATTGATGTCAAACAATAGTTCGAAAGAAATRAAATTTGCTACGTTTTGAAATGTAATGACAACTTGGAAGATAACGTGCMACTTCTTCTTTRACTTCTCTGBCGCAAKTTTTATTCWTGCATGCCGATTCTAAAYTGTCATGTTTCCGTGTCTTGTTATTTCRAAGMRAATTAATACGATSAAAGGACATACCTGCTTGATKTTTTCCCRATAYGARACTCAAAATGAATAGGGAWTTRTAAAGCCCAAGAAAATGGAACAAATTCATGTCTTTTCCTTTTCTTATCTTGTTGAATCTGTTGTGACTATTTGATCACACAAATCTCGAAGGCTTGGTAAAAT